CTATCAAGGGATACTTCTTTAGCAAACTCAAACTTGGCTTGATTTAGTCCCTTCAGCAGTCTGAGATCACGGCCCCCTAACCTGCTTATATCTGTGAAAGGCAGAGTTTGCAGCAATTTGATGGGATGTTGAGAAGCTCAGCTTAGCAGTGGGTGAATGATGTTCCTAGCTGGTTAACATTCATCTGTGAAATGGAGATAGGAGAGACCGTGGCTTCCAGCAGCTGATTCCAAGGCTGTAAAGCTGAGTCTGAATATTCATATTGCTCCATGCATATTCACATGCTCCAGGAAATTAGCAGTTTGGGAAGTGGGGTGCTGATGGAGAAGAAAAATTCTGTTGTCATTTTTCTTCTGGAAGAATGCGAACACATGGAGGGGGCAACAAAAGTGCTTGGGGTTTGCACGCACAGGCCTAATCAATTTCTAGGTGAGAGTTGTCTTCCTAGAACTAAGGAGAAACTTCCTAAATAGAATAATTAACCAGTGGGGTGGAAGTTGCCTTCAGAAGTTGTGGATGCTCCCATCACTGGAGGTTTTTTTTACGAAGAGACTGGACAGCCACTTGTCTGAAATGGCATACAGTCTCCTGCTTGAGTAGGGGGTTGGACTAGAAGACCTCCAAGGGCCCTTCCAACTCTATTCTGTAACTACTTAATGGACTCCAGACCAGCAGGTAGCTGAAAAAAGCTTGCCAACTGCCCAGGACAAAATGACTTTTGCTTGACTCTTGAAAAACGTTCATTATTGCCAGTAAGCGGTTTGGTGGCTGGCTGGGAATGCAGCCAAATTTCATTGCCTCCTCTGAACGTCACTGTCCCTTTGCCTGCCATTGTGTGTAGGGCCCACATCACACCCTGATGGAAACTTGATTTGCTCGGGCAGAACCAACATGAAAGAGAGTGGCCACGATGAAATCATGGCTGCTGCAAATCCTTCTCCTTTTTCCCCCCTTTGCGTGCCTGAGGGCGAGGATTATAAATGTTGACCCCTCCTAACCAAACATGGAGCATGGTCAACCATGGTACAATAACAGAGCTCTTTGCATTGGAGTAACTTAAATCACGAAGTAACCCGATAGCACGTTTCATGAACCTAGTTCATGGGGTTAGACCAGGGGTAGGCAACCTTGGCTCTTTTATGACTCGTGGACTTCCAACTCCCAGAATTCCTGAGCCAGCATGGGGGCACGACGGCACACATCAAAAATGAAAGTTGCCCGCTCTCGAAGTGAAACACATACATGACACACACCTAAACATACTATGAACAACATATGTATAGACCCACATCCCTACATATACGTAACAAATAAATATTAAACACTGTCCATCTTGAATATATAACGGAAGGAGGAACCTTGAGAGTTCGCAAGGTTAATGCTGTGTTGTAGAAAACCGGGACCTGAGTCTCCCGGCTTGGTTTCAGACCTCGTCCGGGGGCTGATTCATGAGTTGTCATATGAAGACACCAGACCAGGTTTCCTCGGGATGAGATCAGCCCAGAATAGTCTCTGGGGACCTCCTTTATTAGCAATCATCAAAGCAAATTGCAGGCAGAAGCGACAAGCAGGGGGGTGAGCCGNTGGTTCACACTGGAAGGTCTTATCAGGAAGTGATAATATTATAGCTTGTGTAGACAGCTTTGTTGACTTGCTTCTTAGTTGTCTGTCCTTACGTGTTTGCAGCTGCAGATTGCAGCCTAACACGTAGGCATGAAGAAGTGTAGAATTAAGCATACTGAAGGTTACAAGATGGAGTGACTTATGCTATATTCCAACACTGTATGGAATGAAACTATGGATGAATCTGGATGTTCTGCTTCGGATACCACGGAGCCCCCTCCTCCCAGAAGGTAACAAGGAAAACAGGTTGTGAAGAGGATGTGTGGTGTCCCAGATAATCTTACAGACCCTGCACAAGCAACACTTCTGTGCTATGTCCTGGATGGGAGGGCTGGCTGGGGAATTCTGGGAGTTGAAGTCCACAGGTCCTACAAGTTGTCATGGGTGGGCACCCCTACTCTAAAAGTGAGTTTGTGTACTTATCCATCTCTTTTCTCAAGGTAGCTCTAAGAAAAATGGCTGTCTCAACCTCGGCTTGATTTTTCTCTACTTTCTCTCCTCCCTTGGATCTTTGCCAGCGTAAAACCGTTGATGCATTCACCAGAGCAAAACAACTCATCGTTTTTTAATCTGGGTAGAGCCACTTAATTTTAGATGCTGTTTTAAATCTGGGCACACGGGTTTTTTACAAGCACTTTTCGATCGAAACGAAAACCTCAAAAACCTTTAAAACCTAGGCACGCAAAGACATAAAAAAGCTCTCGGTTTTTACTTGTATCGTGACCTGGTGGTCGGCGGGCTGCTTCGTCTTAAAACCCTCGACTGGCCTACATGCCCGTCTCTTAAAAAGGCCGCCTGCCTTTGAAGAAAGCTAACAGTAAAGCTATCCATTTGGGTTTTCTATTTTTAAATCGTTAACGGGCTTTGGGATTTGAATTACGGAATCCACGCTCAATTTCAGACATATAACAGCAGGCTGGCCGGTACAGATGGACGTTATTTGTTGATGAAAGCTGTAAATATCCAGAGACAGCCCTTGCCTCCTCTTATCCCCCCCCCCCCACAACCCAAAGCCCCCAAGAAAGCAGACACGAGAATTTTGTCTTTTGTCTGCAACCATCTGGTGCATAAAAATTTATTCAGGTCCACAGCAGCGAGTTGAAACTCGTACGACTGAACGGAGATGTAGGCTAAGGGGACCCCCTTGGGGGAGAACCACCCCATCGCTCGGTGAAGAGGTTTTCCCTGCGAAGCTGGCTGCTGGGAATTTACTCCAGGTAGTGAATCCACAAATGCGGTGGGAGTGGTGATGGAAGAGGAGGAGGAGGAGAAGACGAAAATATTAAAATTTACCTCGAGTTCATCTCTGGGTGCAAAGTGATTCCTGGAAATCTCCAGGAAATCCCAAAGGGATCCAAAAAGAGTCCACATGCAGTACAACTAGACTATGCCACTCAGATCAGCGAGGGTTAAGGACCATTTCTTTTGAAACTGGCCCTGTGTTAAGAGTTGAGGTCCCGGGGGCGGGCAAAGGTCATAAAGCTGGGCCTAATCCAGGCCACTTTCTAGTGCAAGAAGTAAATATTTGAGGAACCCCCTACTTTTGTTTTTTAAATGCTCTGCAGAAATCACTCTAAGTCTCTCCTAATGTGCTAGCTTTCCAGGTCCAGTCCCCTCCCTACAGGTATTTACCATGAATATTCCACACCTTGTTTCATGGTCCCTGTCTGGATCTCTTTCTGCTCATCAGAATGAAAGATCCAGGTTAGATCCTTTAAAAAAGATCGGGTCTTTTTCAAAAGCAAGATCCAAGGCTAGTAACCACCCAGGAAGGGTGCCCACGGGGGCCTCCAGTTCTGTTTCCCCCAATTTTTTTCTCCATTGATTACATGACGTACTGGTGAACAATGGTTTAGACCAGAGGCGTCCAATCTTCGCCAGTTGAAGACTTTGTGGACTTCCAATTCCCAGAATTCCCCAGCGAGCCATGCTGGCTGGGGAATTCTGGGAATTAAAAGTCCACAGGTTTTCAACTGGCCAAGGTTGGACACCCCTGGTTTAGACTTTACAGCTGCTGGCAACATGAAAAGCGTTTTTTTTTTGTTTTTTTTTAAAAAAAGGACAATAAATGCAAACAAGAATTCCCAAAGCATATTTTGATTGCGTCCTATCCCAAGCCCTTTATGCAACTGCCTGAATTAATGATCCCTGTAGAGAGGGGGAAAGGTGAGGGTCTAAAAACAGTGGTGGGGACGATACTTGTGTAAAGTTATGTAGAAAAACACGAGGTCAAGAACGGGAGCGGAATACTGACGGAGTTATTTCTTGGGCATTAAGACCAATGGCAGAGCTTCTCTTAAGTACACTAACCTACCATAAAACCATCCTACAAGGAAAAGCGAACGTTAGCCTAGGGGTTATAAAAGATGCAACCGAGTTGCAGAGTTTTTTGATGTATTTCAGTTCACAGACTTGGTGGCAGAGGTCACGACCGTGGACGTGGCTGCTTTCGGCTTCCCCACACGTGGTCTGCTGCATAGTGGCCCCCCTGCATTTCTGGCCCGCAGAAGGAATCTACTGTGGGGCAACCTGGACTTTTAACAGAGCTCCATCAAAGCAACAGAAGGCTGCCATCTTAAAACCAACAACGGTCTGGCTGAGAATGGGAAGCTCCAAGTTGCAAGCGCAGAGAAGGGATTCAGAAGAAAAAAGAACCAATTGTTGAAGTGTGCAAGCATTGCAAAGTAAAAAACAAAAGAAAACATTTTTCTCTTTTATAAGTCCTTTCTGAGATGTTTACGGGACAGCGTAAAACCTGGGGTTTCCCCCCCCCCTGAATTGTGAACGTATTTATCCAGCTGAGTTTTGGAGCCAAAGGTAAAGTTAAAAAGTTTGGAAGATGGCTCTGAGAGGGAGCCCTAACCTGCTAGACCACCATGGCAGAGATCCATCAGCAGAGGGGGCCTCCTTGATACCCCACCCCTCCTATCTCCAAGCAAGAATTTAAGATACAGGAAGAATCCTGGAGCATGGGAAAGAAGTGGCAGGAAAAAACACCCCATCACCTATTACTTTTCCACGTGCTGCATTGCTGAATACATGAAGAGGGGGGGTGTTCCTATAATGGATCCAAGAATACTTGTGGTAAGAAGGGACAGGTCCAAGTTGCTTCCTCAACTGGCTCCCCAGTTGCTGGAGCAACCTCCCACGACTCCCCAAATCCTGAACTAGTGAGTGTGAGTGGCAGAAAGAAGCTTCCAAACTGCCTGAGAAACCACACAGGTGCCTTACCATGGGTGTGCAATAAGATTAATGTTTGTTACCCAGAGAGAAAGTCAATCATAGTTCTCCATCCTTCCATATCCGTGGAGATTCCTTTCTTCTGTGTTTGATCCGCCCCGCAAGAAGAGGACTTGGGTGAAACTCCATTTTAGAAA